GAGGCTGGTCGACCCAGGCCTGTTTCGAACGAGCCTGATCGGGCGAGGCCTTATCTACTCAATCCTGATCGGTGCGGGCCTGATCTGTGTGGGCCTGATTGATACGGGCCTGATCTACTCAGGTCTCGAGAGGGCGAGGCTGGTCGACCCGGGCCTTTTCCACTCAATCCTGATCGGTGCGGACCTGATCGGTGTGGGCCTGATTGATACGGGCCTGATCTACTAGGGTCTCGAGAGGGCGAGGCTGGTCGACCCGGGCCTGTTTCGAACGAGCCTGATCGGGCGAGGCCTTATCTACTCAATCCTGATCGGTGCGGGCCTGATCTGTGTGGGCCTGATTGATACAGGCCTGATCTACTCAGGTCTCAAGAGGGCGAGGCTGGTCGACCCGGGCCTTTTCTACTCAATCCTGATCGGTGCGGACCTGATCGGTGTGGGCCTGATTGATACGGGCCTGATCTACTCAGGTCTCGAGAGGGCGAGGCTGGTCGACCCGGGCCTGTTCCGAACGAGCCTGATCGGTGCGGACCTGATCTGTGTGGGCCTGATTGATACGGGCCTGATCTACTAGGGTCTCGAGAGGGCGAGGCTGGTCGACCCAGGCCTGTTTCGAACGAGCCTGATCGGGCGAGGCCTTATCTACTCTATCCTGATCGGTGTGGGCCTGATCTGTGTGGGCCTGATTGATACAGGCCTGATCTACTCGGGTCTCGAGAGGGCGAGGCTGGTCGACCCGGGCCTGTTCCGAACGAGCCTGATCGGTGCAGGCCTTTTCTACTCTATCCTGATCAGTGCGGGCCTGATTTGTACGGGCCTGAACTACTCAGGTCTCGAAAGGGCGAGGCTGCTCGACCCGGGCCTGTTCCAAACGAGCCTGATCGGGCGAGGACTTTTCTACTCAATCCTGATCAGTGCGGGCCTGATTGATACGGGCCTGATCTACTAGGGTCTCGAGAGGGCGAGGCTGGTCGACCCGGGCCTGTTTCGAACGAGCCTGATCGGGCGAGGCCTTATCTACTCAATCCTGATCGGTGTGGGCCTGATCTGTGTGGGCCTGATTGATACAGGCCTGATCTACTCAGGTCTCGAGAGGGCGAGGCTGGTCGACCCGGGCCTTTTCTACTCAATCCTGATCGGTGCGGACCTGATCGGTGTGGGCCTGATTGATACGGGCCTGATCTACTCAGGTCTCGAGAGGGCGAGGCTGGTCGACCCGGGCCTGTTCCGAACGAGCCTGATCGGTGCGGACCTGATCTGTGTGGGCCTGATTGGTATGGGCCTGATCTACTGTGGTCTCGAGAGGGCGAGGCTGGTCGACCCAGGCCTTTTCAAACGAGCCTGATCGGGCGAGGCCTTATCTACTCAATCCTGATCGGTGCGGGCCTGATCTGTGTGGGCCTGATTGATACAGGCCTGATCTACTCAGGTCTCGAGAGGGCGAGGCTGGTCGACCCGGGCCTGTTCCGAACGAGCCTGATCGGTGCAGGCCTTTCTACTCTATCCTGATCTGTGCGGGCCTGATTGTACGGGCCTGATCTACTCAGGTC